ATTTTCTGAGCCATCCTGGTGCACCCATTCAGTTCTTTTGTCTTGCTTATTTGGAAAGGCAATACACTTTTCCGCTTTGAGAACAAAAGCGGGGGGTGGGGGGTGGGAACTATTGATGTTTTGTATTATGCATTGGTTTCTTACCGTCAGCCTTTTTCCTTTGGCAGCCACCTGCCATCTCTTTCTTTTCCAGGCCTTCGAGGGGAGGGGAAAAAAATCTCTGCCAATCACCTCACTTCGCACACAATCAGAACCAGAATTAGTAGCTTCGTTGGAAGCAAGTGTGCTTTGAGCTGCTCTGTACTACACCTTGGCATAATCGCTCTCCAGATGAATGATCCGCAAAAATTGTGAGCTTTGTGGATTTTCAAGCTGGCTTCTAGCTATCTTGATGAATTTAAGACCCCCGTAGGGCAGCACACTTTGGTATGTGATGCAAGGTTCTGTGAGGCTTTGAAACAAAAACATCTAAAAGTCTGTAAAATATACAGCAGTCAGACGACACACAACGCCTAACTTTGGCTTAGCTCAAGATAGCAGTAGAAAGGACCGAGGAGGACCAAAGGGGCTGCAAGCTGCTCTCTGGGAGGCTGAGCCTTTGCACTGTCTCACTAAGCCATTGTTTGGCTCACTATGTCATGTGAATCCAAGCACTGCATTAGCGGACAGTTTGTCAGCACAAGGACATCAGGATGAAAGAACTTCCAAGGGGTGGGGGCAGGGGAGAAAGGAACAATCATTTTTCTTTTCCTCTCTCCATGTGTGTGCCATGGCTGTTCCTGCATCCATTACCTGGTCAGGTAAGCTTCAAAGGGAGAGGAAAGAGGGTATTAAGGGAGAGACAATCTATCAGGGAGAATGCTTTGAGGATCATAGGGGAAGGGAATCCAGGAAATATTCTTAGGCTTGGATTTTAATTGCAGTCGGAGAAGAATTCTGGGTTTTTAAGGACCCATAAAGCTCATATCAGAGTCTGGTTCAAGAGAACCTCATCACCATCTTGATTTGTGGGTGTAGAAGTCATTCCAGATTAATCCACAATAAAAAGTTGTTTTTAAACTGTTTTTATGCAGTGAAAAGGATAACAATCCAACGTACACTACTGAATGTTTAGAATTTATGTTTATAGTTGCAGGAATGTCTTTTCCATCATTAATTTTCATTATTCATTTCTTTTAACAAACCTGTGTTTCTGTGTATGCTGTGTTAAATAGAATTATGCTCCTTGTTTGAAAACTGGAAGGGTAAAGGATGGCATATTTTAGATATCTAAAACAGCACAGGTACTTACTTGATTAACTATTATGTCAATATTAGTGCAGCTGTTTCTATAGCAACTCTTTGCAACAAAAAATATGTCCTAACCATAAGTAAGAAACACTTCGGGTTCAGTTTTTTCCAGGCTGAACCAAATCATCTATTTAATCTTTCATTTAACTTTTCTTCTGAATTATCTTCCGAATTATCATGTTTGTTGCCTGAACAACATGGGCTAAAACTGAGGATATGGGGCAGGGGTACAAATTCATGCCTTCAGTGTCTCAGAACTCAGTTCCTGACCTTCTCTGTTTTGAGCTGGGAAGGTCTACGGAGGGCTTTTACTCATGCATGCTTAAACAAGAGTAGAACAGCTTGTGTAATCCAAGACCCTGCTTCATCACACAGTTGATTCTACTCCTGTTCAAGCGGATATGAGTAAAAATCCTGTGCAGATAAGAGGAAGGTTGGCTACTGAAAGGGCAAGGTAATACACTGTACACTTGGACATTGGAATTGAGGCTCGCTGATGGTCACTAATTAAATCAACAAATGGATGATATCGTATGAATTATCATAGAATCAGAAGAGGAGGAAATTGGAATTGGCAGGTGGATCAGGAAATTAACTGAAAACAGATTTCTTCCAGCAGAACTCACTTAGCCAATACATGCAACGGTCCTCAGTCAGGAACAAAACTATATACTTTTAAAGAGAAGTGAATTATTTTCAGTTTTGAGCCTGCTCTCCAGAGATCTTGGATTGGCAACATACAGGGCTGAGCAAAAATGACCCTGTCAGGTTCACCACCCAAGTCACAAGTAGCAAACAGGGGTTATTTTCCAAGAGGCACAAAAGTTCCCAAAAGTTTTCCAGTGATGACGGCAGCAGCTTAGTAGCTTTTGGCACCTCACCATCACAGGCAACAGCAGTGATGAAGCTCCTCGTGATGTACCCTTATTTCAAGGGGAATTTAGGAGCACAAAGAATGGCCATTGTGATGTAGCACCATTGTGGGACATGGAGCAGAGAGGCAGGTGAATGGCAGCTTCCCAAAGACTCTAAATTGGCTCCTGGTAGAAGCACTCCTCAGGTCCCACAGAGGATTTGAGACCTGGTTCTGCCCCTCAAACCACAGTTTCAGAATATGGCATGAAACCTATGCCACTCATTCCCTTATAAGCTCCCAATGAAGACACAGTGGGTCCACCTGCTATAGCCTGCTACCTCTTGACTGGTGCCAGATTACCGCTGCTATAGTAGAGCTTCATTAAAGCCATGCGCAGTATCCCCCAAACTCTGGGCCTGACCAGTATAAGCCACCAATAAATCGGGCATGATAGATTCCTAATTAAGTGTCTAGAATACCAGTGCATGGCACAGTGAATTAAAATTACTCTATGCCTTTGTAACCCTTGCAATTAAAAGATATCCCAACAAAAATTTGTATACAGTTTCTAGAAAATAATCCACTGGTCATAAATCACAGAGCTCCCATCATTCGAGCAAACAGAATACAGTGGTACCTCGGGTTAAGTACTTAATTCGTTCCAGAGGTCCGTTCTTAACCTGAAACTGTTCTTAACCTGAAGCACCACTTTAGCTAATGGGGCCTCCTGCTGCCGCTGCACTGCCAGAGCACAATTTCTGTTCTCATCCTGAAGCAAAGTTCTTAACCTGAAGCACTATTTCTGGGTTAGCGGAGTCTGTAACCTGAAACGTATGTAACCTGAGGTACCACTGTATTTCATAGACCTTGAAATATCTGGAGGGCTTGTAAGGCCACTGTAGGCACTTTTCTAATCTATTGGCTGTCATCTGGTTATCAGGCCAAATTTTAGTAACGGAAAAGCACATTGTGCAAATTAAGATGAAAGAAGCAACATATGTAGGTAGCTTTATTTCCTATCTGTTCTGGAACTATTTTCAAACATGTTTGGTCTCCATCTCAGCCCCATAATGACTTTTTCAGTTTTATACAACAATAATTACCTTCCGTTCCTTTGCCTGAAATGTTATAATGGCTGCAAACCCCTCTTTAAAACAACTGTTTGGAATTAGATTTTGTGGCAAAAAGAACAAACGAAGCTTAATTGAGAAACTTGTTTCATGTAAAGGATGTTAAGTAATGTAATGCAACCATAGTGCTGTACTTTTTGTTCCTGTATAGCTAATATGAGCAGTGAAAAATACACAACCAAATAGAACTATTTCCACGTAATATTTTGAATTATTATTAAATCTGTGGCAGAAGCAGTGGGCGATGTATTCCTTGGAGGCCAGATCTGCTGTCCTTGGGATCCTGCCACCTGAGATGGTTGCCTCACCTCTCTTCATGTGCAAAGGCTTTCCATTCAGTTCTGCATGAACAAAGAGACATGCATTTGTGTGTCTTCCTTTTCCAAGATTCTTGTGAATATGTGACCTCCATATATAGCTGGGAGCTGTTGTATGAATTAGAAAATGCTGGGGTAAACTGCATCTGTATGTTACAGTCTTCTCCATGATTGTCGCAAATCTGAGTGAAAACCTCTGGTGTATACTAAAGTTAACAAGGAATACCTTTTTATGGTTCATTGTGTATAAAGAGAGCCTCTGGAGCTTATTTTGCTTGCCGTGCTTTGCATCAGAGCTCCCCTATTTCGATTAATCTTCAGATTTACAGTTTTTCATAAGAACTTAAATTGCAGCCTGAAAGATTCTCTATTGGATATTCTACCTTAGGAGGCTTTGAGCATATTTCTACTTCATTTCTGTAGTAGCTGAGAAGCTGTGAAACTTTGCCATAATAGTGCACATCTTCTGCCTTCCAAGAGCTGGGGGAAGCAGGGACAAGGCACTTAAGTCAGAAGTACTGCAGCTAGTTATAGCAGTGACCCTCTCATTCACACATTATGTTTCTCCTGATATAGTCCTAGGGAACGCCATTGGTTGTTGAGGAGAAAATGTTGCCAAACAAAATCCTTTTGATCATTGTGATTCATAATGTAATTGACACTTCGATCCGTTTCAATTATGTAAAACTATTAACTGAGAAAGCCCGTTAAAGGCTCTATAAGAACTCTGTATATGACTTTAGAGATATAAAAGCTTTCAGCTAGACCAGTAAATTGTTTAGGGAAGTTGGGCACAGTGCCTGCTTCACTAAAAACTAAAAATACCCTATTTGTAGCAAAATTGCTATTTGGCGAAGTGAAGAATTGAGTATCATATGACTAGAAACTTTAGGCACAGTTCCCTTTTAGAAATATATTTTTTGTTTTCTAAAAGAAAAGGTGTGCTGCCTGGTTAAAGAAGCCAAGCAAATAGGAGCAGGAGCTAAAGCTATAAGATATTCAGCGCTGAACTGATGGATGGGGTTGTAGCAATGAAGAAGCAGAAGAGAAAGTGGCAATTTGGGAAAGCTGCAACAATTGCAGAGAGTAAATGTGTAATTTATCTCTCTGTTAGTCAATAAAGGTGAATTAATGGGAAGATGAGAACCGAGATTGCACATGTGTGACAATAGGATCAGAATATAGTCCGTGGCAATCTTGTATGGGTGCTATTGCAAAATGGCAAGTAAATATGATATATATTGGGATCTGCTTCTCTTGCCAGTGGTAGCAAGGTTTTGAGTCTCAGAGCACTCCTGTAAAAGATGGTCTAATATATGCTGCAAATTTAGACTTCAGTGTGTGCTCTGATATTGTTCAGGTAGGTAGCCGTGTTGGTCTGATGCAGTCGAAATAATCATAAAAAATTGTCCAGTGACACCTTAGAGACCAACTAAGTTTGTTCTTGGTATAAACTTTGGTGTGCATGAAAAACAAACTTATACCAAGAACAAACTTAGTTGGTCTGTAAGGTGCCACTGGACAATTTTTTATATATTTTTAATATATTTCGACTGCGTCAGACCAACACAGCTACCTACCTGAATCTAGAACCACAGAAGGTACCACATTGAGCCACATGAAATGGAAGTCCATCAACCTCACAAGAAACTTGCACAGGTACAGACTGATATCTCCTTTCTGACTAAACACAAGAACCTGGACATTATACCTAAGGGTCTCAGAATTAAGAACCCTCTACAATCCACCTATCCTACTGAATATGCAAAGAAACTATGCCACACTTTCGCCAAGAAGCTGCTCAAACATATTATCAGCGTTCTGTACTCTAAACAGAAGCAAATAAAGGAGGACCTCTCTGTCCTGGACAACACTACAAGGAATCACCCAGCTTGGCAAGAGTTCCACAAGGAAAGACAAACCATTTACCACTCTCAACTGGAGTTGCTGAAAAAACAGAAAAACCAAAAACTCTCTAACCTTTCCAACCTACAGGCTATGAATCAAAACAACAAGATCAACAATATTGTCAATCCCTCACAGCAAACACTCAGCCCAGATGAGGAATCAGTCCTTTCATGTTGACTGTCATTCTGCCCTGCCAAATCCCCACAAGATTCAGTTCTGCGGGGACTTGGAAGCATTTTTCCACCGTCTACGCCTGAAGGAGTACTTTCAACACACACAAGAACAAGACAAAGAACAACAGCATCTTCACAACACAACATCTCTCAACCTACTGGGGAACAGCTACCAGCAACTGCCATCTTCTGAAGAAGTGTGCATGCACACAAAAGCTTATACCAAGAACAAACTTAGTTGGTCTGTAAGGTCCCACTGGACAATTTTTTAAATTTATATATATATATTTTGCTCTGGTATGAACAGGGAACTCCTCCCTTCCCCTTCCAGGCAGCACAGTGAGTATGGTTCTTATATGTTTTTTTTATTCTTATAGTGACTATAAGAAGTAATGTCTCTTAGACGAGGTGACTGGCTAATGACGATTTGAGCCAATTTCCACACAGTACTAATCCAAAATGCCACACGCTGACTCTCATTTATTACAATGGAAAGAGCTGAGGAACAAGGCGGGCCAGGTTCCTTTATTGAAATGAATGGGGAAGGCCATGCAATGGCAGAATCATTCTACAGGAACTCCCAAGCATCTTAGCAAATTGCTTGATCAGAGCTGATAATGAGACAGTGTCATATCACCAGGTTTTTCTTCACTTACGAAAGGTCAGGTTAAAGCCATCTATATTTTAGAAGAATTTTTTTTATTAAAAAAAATGCCTAGAGTGGAATGGCAGTTAGTGGAATTTCTCCTGAGAAAACACCTGAACAGGTCGTGTCACTATCATACTCACTTCAGGAAACAGAGCAGTCAGCAGCATTTCTCTCCCTAGTGATAATTTAAAATTGAAATGCCATCTTGGTTTTATCTTCTGTGTCTTGCAGTGCAATGATGTGGGGAAAATGCCTCCCCTCCAGACGTTTTGGAAGGTAACTGAAATTCCTTTATCCTCCGTGCAACACTGAAATGCTGCTTCTCTCACTTTGGAAACTACAGGAGCATAAACGCCAGCATAAAACCTTATATGCATGGCCTCGTTTAAAAATTTCATTCATTGCCGTCAGTTATATGACTAATGTAAAAAGCACAGGAGATCAATCACTTGTGTAGCAGATTATGAGTTTTGTAAATTTCGCCTCTTTTGCCAATGTGGAGGATGTGCTTGAGGGCAGAAGACCGTCTGCCATTTGTTAGCCATTGGCAGGAACCGATGGGTTGTATCCAATGGCTTTGCACTGGTGGGAAATGCTGGTGCACGATGGAGTCTCCTGTTTTCTCTAGCCCCCTCCCAGACTATTGCAGGCCCCTGCCCTCAGGGGCAGCTTTTGGGGAGGCTGAAGGGACTTGCACAGCAGTGGTTCTGGCAACTTCGTTGTACAATTTTCAGCAAATGCTGAAGATGTACCTTTTTACTCTGGCTTTTGACACTCAAGTTGTTTATTTTCAGGACCCACCCTATATTTTGTGGTTATGCTGTATTGGCCTGAATATAAGCCCCACTTTTTCCTCCCAAATTCCAACCATTAAAAGTTAAAGTGCGACTTATATTTGTGACCTTATGGTATGCAGCCAGGAGTGCAGGGCAAACAGTGCCAGGAGCACGACAAAGCAGCACCTGCCCTGAGCGTAGTCCCCCGTCCTCTCCCCCAAGGCTGGGAAAGGAGAGAGTGAGGAAGGGGAAAGGCCGCCGGCAACACAGTGTGGCTCCCCCCACCGCCCAGTATGCAGCCAGGAGCAGTGAGGAATGGAGCGGCTTATATTTGGGTACTTTTTTCTTCCCACCCCCCACCAATTTTAAAGGTGCAGCTTATATTCGGGTGCGGCTTATATACAGGCCAATGCGGTAATAATATAGTTTTTGTGGAATTATTATTATTATTATTATTATTATTTTCTCCTAGCTCAAAGCAACCATTGGATAGAATTCTATGAATATTTGAACTTTACACTTAGACAGGGCCTAGCCCAACCCTAAGCACTTGGTAAATAAATAAATTGGTTCCATCCCCATTCTGACAATGCAAGCCAGTTGCAAGAATTTTAGAAGGTCCTGCTATGTCTATCCTGAAAGCCAAAATGACGCAGCAGCAGCAGCTCTGAGATCCTGGGTACACATCCAACTTTAGCTAACTTTGTGTGTCAATATCTCTCAGCATTATAGCTCGTATTCAAAAGCACCACTGTTTAATCATGTCCAGGTGCAGAATGGCAGAGAAGGCATGTGGAGGATTCCTTTGCCACAAACAGAGCTGGGCTCTGCCTGGGTTTAGGGGGTGATCATCAGCTCACCATCTGAAGGGTCCTCCAAAGTCTGGTGCTAGCCCTGCTTCTAGTCCCAGTTGTGTCATAGGTAGCAAGCAGCACCTGGGTTTGAGAGTCAGCAAGAATTAAACAAGGCCAGAGTGATATTGTCAATGTAATGAGTACCAGAAATCATTCTAGCCACTCCATTTGGCAACAATTCAAGGGCTCTCCATTTTTTAAAACTGATTTTAATGTTGTACTTGTACCCCACCCTGGGACTTCGTGGGCAAGAAATCCAATATAAAGTGAGAGGGGCCACTAGGGGCGCATCGGAAGATGGCTAACAATAACCCACACGAGGTAATTAGGAGGCTGTGATGGGAGTAAATAGCCTCCCTACCCCCCCCCAAGGTTGTGGGGGGGCTGCCCTTGCCTGCTGTGCCCTATACCACCCCCGAATTTGTGGGGATGGGGGCACTAGGCAGAATGCCCTCCTGTGGATCTCGGTGCTCCTGGACGCTGTCTCTGATCCGCGCCGCTAGCTGCAAGAACTTCAAAAGAATCAATTAGGAGGAAGCGAATGCACATATTTCAAGGAAGGAGGGGGAGTAAAGACTGCTAACTGAAGAGATCTCTGATAAACAAGACGAGTCGGAGGTACAAGACTAAATCATGAGAAGATACGCCAAGACTCGGTATGGCAAAGGGACTGGATGGGGGAGGGGGGGAAACTTTCCTTTCTTTCCTCTATGTGATTAAACAAGAATCCCCCCCCCCCACAAGTCAGAAATGCCGTTTTAATGACTTAAGTTGTGGATTTAAGACTGTGTGGAGATAAATTTTCTAACCAAAGCATGTTTTAAGAAGACCGTGGAATGTATAAGAGCTTTGGAATGACGCAGTTAAAAATACCGTCGCCATGTTGGCAAGCTCTGTCGGAGGACTTGAGTCTGGGAGGAGAAATAGAGCTGCTTTTATATTGTGTGTGAGACTCCTCAGAGGGACTTAAGAACGACAGTTTGCGAGATAAATGATGGAAAGAGCGATGTTATTTATGAAAGCGATGATATATGGAAACCATCTTGATATGAGGATTGGACGAATGGAAAAATTCACACAGGACTATAATTGGTGTTTATCTGCTTAAGGAGATTACCAGAAGAGATCATAAGGAAAAAAGAAAAAAATGTATGAACAAGATGAGATGTGGAAACAGCAAGATAAGACTGAATAGAATTATGATCTTTATTTGGACTGATTTGGATATTAACGCAGTAGCAAGAAGATGATCGGAATCCCCCTTCGGAACTTGAAATATGGGTCCCCTCAACAAAAATTTAAAATTCGGCTTTGTAATTCGGAATTTATGTGATGTGATTTGATTTGATTGGTCGGTTAATAAAAATTATTTATAAAAAATAAATAAATCCAATATAAAGCAAAGTAGAAAAGATTACAGTAATCTAGACTATGTGACTAAGGCATATGTCACAGTGACTGGACCTGATTTCTCTTTTCCTATGGCCATGTATTAAGCGATTGTCCTGCTGTATAGACCATAACCCTTAAAATGTACCTAGCATTATACTTCCCTTGTGCTGCTTTCTTCTTTGACAATTTATTTCCCAGTGCAATACAAAATGCACTGTACAGAATTGTTCAAATGTAAACATGAAGAATCACATGCCAATGTTTTCATCACATAACTTCACTTTAATATGTGTGTGCTTTCCTTTTCATGCAGTACATCTGTAAATTCTGTGTGCCAGAGCCAGCTACAGAAAATTGGCTATCTTTCCAATGGGGTTGTGCTCTCAGTTAGTCGTTTATGATGCAGGGCATGGGACTCAACAGTTCGGCACCAATTAACAGCCCACCTTTTAATATATCTGCATTCCAAGTCCGCCAAGTTGATAATTACAATAATTAACTCCCAGAGCTCTTCATGCACTTTTGAACACAAATTTGGCACTTTCATCAGCGTGGCTAAAAAGAAAGTTCACAGACCAGATGTGGCTCATTTGAAATATGACCATCAGTAACAACCTCAGGGTTACTAAGTCTGCACTCATTTGAGAAATATTCCATAAAAACCTGGATAGGCCTAAGAGGAATTCACCATCTACATGACACTTTTGCAGATACTAAGGACGTGTGAGAACCGAGATTGAAAAGCTGGGAAAGGGATAGACATCTCCTTCTC